GTTAACCACTTTGTTTTATTGGCCTTCTAATTTTTTTTTTAGATGATTATAATGAAAAGTCATTTAAGTAAAGCGAGGCAGACTGTAGGATGAGCTTTGGGGGGAGTTTTTTCTGGGAACTACCTGAGAAGGGTACATGGATCATCAGAGAAATTATTTCCCTAAAGACTCCTTCTCAGGGCCCTTTATTCTTCTGAGCTAATGCTTTGCTTGAATTATCCTGGGAGAAGGCAGACTTCCTGTCATCTGCCCCCAGCATATTATCTACCCCTAACACAGTGATTCTCTTCTCATTTCCCTCACTGAGGCATAATCGTTGAGTGGTACCACGAGACAGTGGAGAACCTGCTACGGAACTTGGCCGACATGCATGATCACGTTCGAATCCAAGCCATCATCACATGTGCCACAGCTGCTTTGGAACAGCTCCAGGTTGTCACCAGCCAGGAGAACTTAGGTGAGAGTCAGGGCTGAAATGCTTGAGAACATAAACAACTCACAAAGCCACAGAACACTGGAACTGGTGGGGACCTTGGAGTTTGAGGTCATTTTGCGAATGTGTAAAGCAAGACCTAGAGACTAGCTTAAATACATGCAGCTTATCAGCAACAGACAAGACTGAAATTCCTGACTGCTAGTCCAGTGCTTTTTGTACTACACTCCATCACCTTTTGTTTGCTCAGTGGGTTTGCAGAGAAGTTCACATTTTCCTATGTAGAGATCTCATTCCTAACAGCCAAAAACTATATTTATGTTTTTTTTTATATAGTTATACACACACACACTTTTTTTCCCAATTCCATTTTAGCTCTTCTTTGGACAGCCCCTCTCAAACTCAATACATCTAAAACTGAACTTATCACCCTCAACAAAGAGCCCCAGCCTTCCCCGCATTCCATCTCTCTCTTCACGTGCTTAACTTCTATACTTGCCCTTCAATTTTCAGCTAAGGTGTCACCTTTTCTAAGGAGTCTTCCCTGTCTCACTTTCCAGACTTGGTTTAGGCTCCTTACTATATGCCTCCACAAATATACATTTTTTATTGCATCTACTTATTTCCTTGGGTGTCAAATGGGATGACATATTTTCAATGCCTGGCAGATAGAAGAAGCCTTCAATAGGCAGTAATTTTTATAATAATCATATCCCCAAATCTTCCACATACATACAAAGAACACCTTTGTTTTACTCAGAATTTTGTCTT